CCTTTAAGTCTATACAATAATAACAATAAAACTGAAATTGTAATTGAGGATGATCAGTTAATTGCCATGTTAAATGATCTGGAGGTGGAGGATGGTACCTTGTCGCAGGTTAGCCAAAGAACAATGGAATCTTTGTAAAGAAGGCTGCATATGTGTTTTTTTAATAAATGTCATATTTTCTAAATTGTTGTTTTATATATTTGTCATAGTGTTAATGGCTTTAATCTATATCATTTTGTACAAAATGCGTCCTTAGGTCAAGTATTGTTGCTTATAAGCTATGGCTAGACAAATGTTTCCCTAAACTGGAATTTAAAATTTAAATACATAAGTATAAGTATACACATGATTTGGTTTATCATACAGTTCCATCATTATTTCAGCATTTATAAAGTGCGCACAAATAAAACAAACTTTTACATACAGCCCCCAGCTGTACACACTACGTATGTACATCTGCGCATGTATATTGCACTATATATATGCATATATATAGCTAGGCATATTTGAAGCATATCAGAAAAGCAAATTAAATGAATGCTTATGTGTCTGTTTGTCCTCTCCATCTCTGGCCGGAGCTTCGATATATCAAAAGACAACGCCAAGTGGATCGTTATGTGTGGATTTGGAACAGTATCAAAATACTCAAAATTGTACAGATGAAGCATATCAGGACGGGCAGAATCACTATAAACCGCAATGATCTGAAGAAAATAGAAAACTAATGTTAAATACAGATTAAATTAAAATATATGGATTACACACCTGCCATGTCCTAGGGCTGGGTGTCAGAGATTCAGATCAATGTCCGCCTCCAGGTCGATGTGGTTCATCGAGTTGGCTGTGCTATTGAAGATTTGATTCTCAGCCGTTGCTCCACTGCTCTCCCCACCACTGGGTGCGTTGGCRTTGGCGTTGGTSACGCCGTTCCGCTTAGATTTACCTAGCAGCCAGCAAGAGAACACTTTGTCCAAATATTGCACGTTAATAATGTGATGATGGTTTGGACAGTGTGTTGAATGAGACCGATATATATATATACATAATATATATATTCAGCATATATATAATCGGTGATATTATAAATACAAACCAAGTACACTAAACTGAGTTGACATATGCCATAGCCTTTCCACATTTTCGATTGTATGTATCTCAATGGTAATAATTGAAAGAATGCTTACAATTAGTAGTACTTAGTAGTAGGATCTCCTAGTTGGATCATCGAGTCTTGCATGCTGGTCTGGTTGGTGTATACATATGCATGTGTGAGTGAGTGGATGATGATGACACTTACCTCCAGAGAAGCACAGACAACCTTCGTCATCACTTTGGAAATCCCGCCCGGCGCTCTTTTGTTTGAGCTCTTTATTGAGCTCATTGATGCAGCGCTGATAATAGTCGTAATCCTTTAGATACCAAACTGGAGGCCATCGATGCTCGCGCAAATACTCCTGATTATCCTGATGCAGTGCTTTYAAGCCCTTAAGTGAGAACTTACAAATAACATTGTAATTGACGCATAGATACGACATACACCACTCCGCCAGCTGATGGGCATTGTGCAACTGTTGAAATTCAGAAGTTATAAACTGATATACCCCATTTAGTATAAGTAAATAAACAACCTTGACTGGCTCCAGCAATTTTAGGCAATGATCGACCGTTTCATTGGTCTCGTTTTGTGAAATAATTGTGAGATCTTCAATAACGCGACACTCAATTAGATTGATAAGGCGAGGCAGGCACAATCGGTTGGCCAATTCCAGCAAATTGAGGCATTTAACCGCTGAGATGGGCGGAATTTGATCAGTGTACAAATAGCACAGCAGTTTATGGAATGTATAAATCGTGACGCCAGGAAAAACAATCTGCAACAAGAAATCTGTATTAATTTCTAATATTGAATATTATCAATCCTTAAGTCTTACCACATTAGAGTGCGCTTCACGAAAGTCACCGNCAAAACAACGGCGTGCTGCTTGACGCTTATAAAATTGGTACTAAGGCTTTGCAGAAGGTTCTCAGCGATTCAGGTCTCAAGTACGACAATGTGGATGAAGTTCTTGCCGATGTGCGCGAAACTTTAGATCAACATCGGGAAATTCAAGATGTTATGTCCAGTAGCACAGCAGAAGTAACAGCCAACCACGATGAGGAAGCGTTGGAAGCAGAGCTAACCAAYCTGATGGGCGGAAACGATCAGGAAATAAARCCTTTAAGTCTATACAATAATAACAATAAAACTGAAATTGTAATTGAGGATGATCAGTTAATTGCCATGTTAAATGATCTGGAGGTGGAGGATGGTACCTTGTCGCAGGTTAGCCAAAGAACAATGGAATCTTTGTAAAGAAGGCTGCATATGTGTTTTTTTAATAAATGTCATATTTTCTAAATTGTTGTTTTATATATTTGTCATAGTGTTAATGGCTTTAATCTATATCATTTTGTACAAAATGCGTCCTTAGGTCAAGTATTGTTGCTTATAAGCTATGGCTAGACAAATGTTTCCCTAAACTGGAATTTAAAATTTAAATACATAAGTATAAGTATACACATGATTTGGTTTATCATACAGTTCCATCATTATTTCAGCATTTATAAAGTGCGCACAAATAAAACAAACTTTTACATACAGCCCCCAGCTGTACACACTACGTATGTACATCTGCGCATGTATATTGCACTATATATATGCATATATATAGCTAGGCATATTTGAAGCATATCAGAAAAGCAAATTAAATGAATGCTTATGTGTCTGTTTGTCCTCTCCATCTCTGGCCGGAGCTTCGATATATCAAAAGACAACGCCAAGTGGATCGTTATGTGTGGATTTGGAACAGTATCAAAATACTCAAAATTGTACAGATGAAGCATATCAGGACGGGCAGAATCACTATAAACCGCAATGATCTGAAGAAAATAGAAAACYAATSTTAAATACAGATTAAATTAAAATATATGGATTACACACCTGCCATGTCCTAGGGCTGGGTGTCAGAGATTCAGATCAATGTCCGCCTCCAGGTCGATGTGGTTCATCGAGTTGGCTGTGCTATTGAAGATTTGATTCTCAGCCGTTGCTCCACTGCTCTCCCCACCACTGGGTGCGTTGGC